TGCGGCTAAAGCAAAATTTAGAAGTTCTATACATATCTGAAAAGAAAATGCATAGAAATATTTCGATATGAATAAAATCAGTTTATTCTTTCCAAGCAACAACCAATTCGTAAACAAATTGTTTGTTGGCAACTCAGGAAACAAAAGTCTTTGACACTTCAAGTTAATATGTGTACATGTGACGTCATGGTTTAAATGTAATGTAATATAACAACTTTTTCTCAATATCATTCAAAGATAACATACCGTGTCAATTATCCTAACCTGAAAAAAAAGTTGCCAATAGCCGCTATTTATATAAAATGCTACCATTAATGAAACATTTTCGACATACAATGATGTTACATGTAATCGCGGACTTCTTTCAGCATCAGAACATGACATTATATAATACTAGCATATTTAATTATTTAAATGTTTGGAAATGATATTTTTTCATATTTTGTAAAACGTACAAATTTTTTATTAACAAACTCTACGCTCCACGATTGGAAAGAGAGCAGTGGCAACACTTTTCGAAATAAATCATTTTTATCTTCAGAGACTCCATAGACTGTTGCCACTCGGAAAAATGAGTGAGAAAACTAATGTTTACAGAATTTTTGATTAATATCTCGGATGATTAAAGTCGTTCGAAGATGAAAATGGCCGAAATGTCTTCCCACAAATTTTTGAAATCTGGGTGTACATATCTGGAAACTCAACTCCATGCCATTCCGTAGGACATGATGCCACAAATAAACAGACCCCTCAGATTTTAATTGTGTAGATTTCTTAAAATCGTTCACCCAGTTTTATCGTAAAATAATACTTACTGCTATCTTATAAATCCGATACTTAAAATTTTCTCATAAATAAGCTGCATAATCAGTTCTATTATAGCTCCTATTATACTGCATAGTGGTTTCACTTGAGAAAATACTGAGAAAAGGAATTTAGTTTTTTATGAACAGTAATTGCACTTTTTTACAATTCATTGTGATGTATTTTTAGCTACATATAAAAAGAAGAGCCAAATAAAAAATATTTTCCTTCTGAGCAATAATTAAGCAGAAATTAAATAATAGGTATTAAAATTTAATTATAATTATCAATACAGTAGCTATAAAATCTACGGGATCAAAGCAATTTGCTCATTAATTATAACTAAAAATATCTATTATCATATTATCTCTTTCGATTCAAAGAAAAAATAAAACAATGGAGTCTAGTTTAGTAGAAAATATTTAGTCTTATGAAAGATAAATTGCGAGAGGAATTTACTTATACAAAATTTACATTTAGAGAGACATAAAGTAAGAGATAAATTTGCATGTAATGAAATCTGAGTTAAAGAATCAAATGAATATTATTAGGCTATGCAGTAATTTAAAACATCTATATAAAATAGCGAACTGAGATTTTGCTTGCAATTTAACGCTATTCTTATTCTTAAACCTTTGATTCATCAAAACATCAGCTGATTGCCAATCTTCATTGATTTGTGAATAAATATGATATAAAACCATACTTATTAATGAAAATGTGGTAATGTGGAGCTGTTGTCTGTGAGTTGAATGAAACTGATTTTTAATTTCACAAACTTCAGCTGAAATGAGGAATCTGAGTTTCGGGAAAGGGAAAAGTTATCAGATTATTTTTCTATAAATTCACTTTCTTAAATAAATAATGAAATATTTCTATGCCATTTTCATAGACATTAATAAAATAAATAAATAAATATAATTAGACAGTTCAAATTAGTTAATCTTCAAAATTTAATTTGAGATAAATAACTATTGTCTTTGCTTAAAGCATCTGGCATTTTATAATTTCTGCTGTAACCGCTAACCTTCTACCCTTCTGCGCGACGGAACAACACTTTTGGAAGTGTGCCAAGTAAAGAATAATTTGAAGATCCCGTGTGGGGTTTTACTCTAACTTCATTCAGCCAAGCTCTAGAAATGAAAGGAATTACCTCGTAATTGCTTTTCCCTTTTGTGTCGCTTCTAATTCGAATTTTCCCTAATGTCAAGGGAAAGTATTATTAATTCGCAGAACGAGGTCTAGAGCTGTTGTCGGATTATGTGAGGTGGTAAGTTTTGAACAATAGCTTCCGTTGCGAATTGAGAGTTTCTTTTTAAAATTCACAAATCATTCTGTAAAAAATGCAAATTATGTTTTAATGCAAATTATGTTTTTATGAATTATTTACAAATTTCCTAAGAATATATTGTTTATGTGACGTAAAATTATTGTAGCATTAAAAGAAGGACTGTAATGTAGGCTTGTATTCAAATTTTTAGCTTAAAAATATATGATTTTTGCACACATTTCCATAAATTCATCATTATTTAATAAAATGCTCGCTGAAATTTTGCAAGAGAATCCTTTTACATTTTGATAAAGTAATGTACTTAATTTTTAAATTTAATATTTAAAATAATGCCGACATTAGTTATTTATTCAGTTATTAATACGTTTATTCAGTTACCGCTTTTTATAAGGATCCTTGTCTTTAATTTCCATTACCTCCCGTTATAACTTCCCCTTTGGCTCTGATTGAGAGGTGGAGGAAATAAAAAAAAATTTAATATACTTCTCTCATTTTTGCATCGGTTATTATAATGGAGCGAATGGTATAATGAACAATCATTACCTCGAGCCTTGATTTTTATGTATCAATTATGTGAATTCTGAGCTCTTTATTTTTAATAAAACGTTCTCCACGACCGATCTTTATGTCAGGATTGTAACTTAATGTTAGAATATGTAAGAATTCTTACTATGGCATATATATTCAATGTACGAAACTGAAGACGTAATTAATGCAATCCTGATAATAAACTTTACTTAAATTTTTAATTGAATAATTTTATTTGGAGATACATTAAAAAGTAATATATGTGGTACTAGAATTAAACTGCTGTGATTATGCAAAGGATATACAAAATACCACATTCTAATCAAACATTCTGAAATTAAATTAATTTTTTTAGCTCTGACAGTGAGCATATAAAAAAGACATAAATAAAAAAATAAAAAAAAGATTACATAACCCCCTGTATCCAAATGTAAATTCTTCGCCAATGTTTCCAGATAAAGGCGTATCTTAATTTGTTACTTCAAAACCTTTGCAGAGACAAGATTATAATCTATCACTGACACTTAATACCACTTCAAAAATGCTTTCCGAAAATAAATCAGTATTAAATATAAAGGAAAGCATATAGACTCTCACTGGAGTGTTTGAGAAGATCAACGCTCTAATGGATGATGTCTCTGAGCAGACAGTGTTCAATGACCTGCACATCGTTATTCCCTTCGAGAAGAGTCCTCTTCACCTCATCGCAACTAATATTCTTTAGAAATAATTCACTTGAAATGTTCTCGAACGTTCTTGGAGCTCTAAAGCGAGATGTTGAAGTGTCCTTTCTCTGATATTTCCGGCAGATAAGAACGATAGCTATCATCGTGCACTCTAACTGTGCTTGAGGACATTGCTCTCCTTCTCATTGCCTATCTTCCGTATTCCGAACTAATATATGCAAATTCTAAAGATATTTATTAAAGGTTCCATGAATTTCACTAAGATTTAAGTGTGCTGCAACTATGTTATAAGAAGTTCCACCTGTTTTGCATGATAAGTGTACATTTTATATTTGCATTATCAAAATATATTTGAATGTTGCTTCTTATTTTCATTACTAACATTAGGAATACTTGGATATATTAGGAAGCATTAATAGACCTTGTACTGAAAATATATTAATAACAAAACTCACCAGTTTTATTTAAAAACTACGAAAGGTTTGTATTTTCCACCTTTTTGAGGATTTTCTATTTGCTTCAGTTTCATAATTTAGAAAAGAAGGAATAGACACGTAGGCCATTAATTTAATTAAAAAATCATATAGCATAGATGAAACTTCAATTGTGTGTACATCTGTCACTACGTAAAATGAATTTGCATAAGAAATGATCGTATTACCAAAGTTATAATTTTTATGTCCATTCGTTACTTATTATAAGTACTACTCCGTAGTTTCTTCAAGGTTAATGGTGTAAATTGCTAGCATCTTTTAAACCAATGATTTCCAACTTTCTGCATACCCTCACCACCTAGGAAATGAGTGTTCAAACACACTGTAAAATAATATATATTTTCAGAGCACATTAATCTGTGCAGTGTATACATAGAACTTATAACTTTACGTCATACTGTAGAAAATAAACCGTTCTATTCCGCGTACCCTGAAGTTTCATTCCTAAAGTTTTGTTGGCGACGGAGTCCGAAACGGGAATTTTAAAAAATGAATTTAAGTAATTATGGTTCAACTGTGGCAATCTCAGCCTTGGCTGACGTTCTACCAAAGCATGCAGAATAGTTTAAAAGCGGTATTAATTACGTGCCACAGAATAAGAGTTCGCTTCTCGTCGGAAAAAAGGTGATTTACTCGTCCTAAAAGAGGTGAAGTAACAATTACTTATTATAATTTATCATTAAAATATGTATAAATCAGAATTAAGTTTTGAAAACTCTCTTATTTTCGGCAATATACAAATAAATAAGTGCGCAAATTGAAACGTAATGCAATCAAACAGTTCATTACAAATAATGATCAGCATATTATCTTAGATTATTCAAAAGTAATTTTTTGCTTCCTTAAGTCTTTGAGTCTTTGCTTTTAACTCTTTGCATTGAATGCAATGAATACGAATAGAAGAAAAATAGAACCGAAAAATTCCTACAACAAAATTCATGTTCATCCATTCTATTTCGTAAATAAATCTGTCAAATGGCGCATGCGTGTTCATGCTCATGGTCGCGGCTGCAGCTGTTAAACTATATTGGATATGTATATGAAGAAGATGAAAGACGAGAAAATATTAATCTCTATTTTTCTAAATATGTTATGGTGGTAATATAAAAACATTTGAATTCGTGTGCTGGTTGAAATAAAATCTTATCACTATGATAAAAAACCACACTTAAATTTAATAATTTGCTATTTTTTCAGGTTTAACATTTAAGAAAGTAACATACTGCATCGATCATGGCCCCGTCACCCATCGATCTTCTTCTGCTACGGTATCGCAAGAGTCTTAATGTACCCAGCGCAGCAGAAATCGGGGGAGCTGGTGACTCTAAAGCGGCAGGGGGGCCAGAGCCCCCGAAGGCCGAACCTCCGCCAGCCTTGGAAACCACCTCGGTGGCGGCCGTCCTGGAACCTGTGAATACCACTATTGCGGTGACAGAAGAACCCTTAGGGGAGAAGATTATGCATGAGATAGCTGATAAAACTCACGGTAAGTTTCTCCTTTTCCTTTTTATTTTCGATCACAGTGCTCTTTTGATAAACTTGCTTTCCGAAGTTTTCCCGTTTTATCTCTCTTTACATTTTTGTTCAATGTTGAATCTCTTCCATCAGCAGTTTGGAATGGAAACGTTTAGGCTTTAAATAATATGTTACAGTTATATAGATCAATCAGTATAAAAATACCTTCTTTACGAATTTAAATTAAATTCAAAATAGTTTATATATAATATATAATAATTTGAGTTTCACCAAAGATTAACTGACATCACTCTCTACATCTCTCCCTTTATATTTTTGTTTGATACTGAATTGTATCGTTCAACAGTTTAGATAGAAATCATAAATGCGGCTCTGTAGACGTGAAATAATACGATAAAACTGCTGAGATCAATAGGCCTATTTTCAAGATTTAAACGGTATTCAAAATTGTTGGAAGACTATTTTCGGAAGAAATACCACATTACGTAAATAATAGCGATATTCAAAAGCACATTTATAGGTTGCGCAAGTGGCTGTCGCAGGATCGCCACTATTCAAATATTTAGGCTGATTAAAAAAATAGTAAATATACTCTGTGTCATAAGATGCGGTGTTCTCACATTAGAAATCTGCTGATGTCTTGAGAAAGAGTAGATCAGTTTATGTTCTTATTTAGTTCACATGAGGGTACTATCGTGCTGTGTTAAGGCTCTCCTTTGCTACAGTACTTTATTTTCGTTCTATTTGAGGTAAAGATGAGCCACTGGATTTATATCTTTGAACCACAAACCCATCTGGTTTTCAAGATCGGATATTTCGTATATTTAGAAAGAGCTATTTTCATACTTTTGCGAATAAATGCGCAAAAACACAAAAATATAAGTGTTATGGAATACCGAAGGAAAATAACTTCGTGCAATTAAATATAATAATCAAGTTATAACGTTCCTTTGTACTTTGTCTAGATATAATGTCGAGGAGCCTAGTGAATTAAGTAGAGAATTATCACTGAGTTCAAGTAGTCACTACAGCGATTTGAGAAGGGTTAAAATACCCTTTTATTCACTCAAAGAAATAATAACAGATAGCCCCTTTTTTCAGGCTTACAGAAAACCTTCCATTTGGGCTTTTAAATCAGGATAAGAAAGTAAGAAATAATCTAAATAGACTTAGCCGAAGCTAGAAACAAATACCTAACGTAGTTAGCCCTTAAATTAAACTAGACGGCAGTTATCAACAGGCACGTATAATACAGCCGAGTGTAATAGATTTCAAGAACGAAGTAGCCAGAAGGTAAACACGCGCCACTAAGAACTCCTAAGCACTCTCAATCGAAGTAAGTTGAACTTTCCTTAAATACTTCTTCTACTCATTTGCATAAAACGCGATACTAAAAACTCATTCTGGTAGGGAGTTGTAAATGGGAAACAAGAATTCAAAGAAAAGGGTTTCAAAATTAAAAGTAACTGCTATAAAATTAAAATACACCTTACAAAGTGAAAAAGCTCAGCACAAAATTAGCGCAAATTATCAAAAAATTATCATTGATTGGTCTTTGTTGCAACTCAGTACGACTTTATTAAAGTGAGTCCGCTATGCTAAATACAGGAGGAGTTGTAGTATATGACGCGGAAGTTGGAATGCTTGCCGATCAGACAAAAGGGGTGCTCGAAACAAGTTTTTGAAAGTCATCGAATGGTACGGAGTGGAAGCTACCATTTACAAAAATGTATATAACACCATTTCAGATGCCTCTGGTAAGTTGACACATGAAGTAATTTTGGTTTTCTTTAAAATGTCAGATCCTCAGCTATAAAAGAGGGAATCTTTATTCATAGGATACTTGATAAGATTAATTGCGAATATGGTTTTGGGTATGTAGCACAAAATTTTAGATTTTTAAAATTTTGAACAAGCCAAAATATCTAGTATTTTAAACAGAAGTAAGGAAAGATATGCATTGTTGAGTTAAAAATTATAACTTTCATTTCCTTGGAGGTCAAAATTATTGTTCAAATTCACTCGCTTCGCAGTTACCTTACTTCATTTCCAATTGCAAGAATATGCAATTTGGGTAAATGAGCAAGAACTGTGTACTTATAGCGATGGATATTTTATAATAAATGGATTGCGATATTAGTTCTCATTTAAAAACATATATGTATTCATGTATGCAAGCAAGCTGCTAACTGCATTCTTGGTATTTTTGCACTTTCTTAACAGTACCAGTATGGGGAATCATTATGATACTCATTGGTATTGGACTGCTGCTAGTCTGCATCTGTTGCTGCTGCCTCCGGAAGTGGTGTAAAAGGTGGCGGAAAGACAAAAAGGGGGGAAAAGGTGGAGTGGATCTCAAAGGTTTGGGGATCCTTGGCGATGCGTATAAAGAGAAGGTAAAAATCGCTTATTTTATCTTAACTGTACAGAATTTCTTTTATACAAGAAGTTCTATAAAATCGATGTTGAACATATTTGTGGTTGATACAATAATTGTTATACAGCTCTTGTGGTTGTGTAGCGTTATGTTAATCATAAAGTGTCTGAATGATAATGTTTTCAATGAAAGTTAGAGCACTACATCTAACAAATGATTCGAAGATTTAACTTTATCATCAAGCTGCAAACACAGTCGCTTTGTTTCATTTATTAACAGCCGCAGAAGAAGCATACTATCTCACAATATAATGATCTTTAAAAGAAAAAATATTATATGAATTTAGAAAAGTCTGAATTAATAAAAGTAAGTCATTACTTAAAATCACGCACTGTAAAAAATGCTACATTTAAAATTCGTGACCAAATAAAAACGCTGCATTGCTAGAAATGTTTTGGGCAACACATTAATAATGCATTATTACTTCAATTATTAACGATTTGCTGTAATTTAAACTGTTTTGCTATGGATATCCTTCTACAATTTAACTTATGGCAATTATGATAAGTATTATTAATTCACTTTTCTTTTTATAAACAGGAAAAATTACACTGCAGCATAAATCTGATAAAAAGCTGATTAATTTTGATCATTTAGAATTTAACACTATTTTTTAAATTAATAGTTTACTAGTTAGTTACTAATTTAGAAATTTTAGTGCAATTATTGAATCTTGGTTTAAAATTTTAAAATACGTAATTTAATAAATTGTTGTATAACTACTAAGGCGATTCATCAGTGCAATGGATAATATATACATGACGAATGCAAGCATATTTTTGTGTGAAATTGTTTATAATAATTTTTAAAAGAAGCTACTCTGTAGCTAAACAGAGTTTTATTAATCGCAGATGTTTTTAAAATATGATAGGTACAGCCAGACGAAGAAGATCTTCAAGACAACATGGAAGATAACGAAGGTGAAAAAGAAAGTGAAAAATCGGAAGAGAAACTGGGGAGACTACAATATAAACTAGACTATGACTTTAATTCTAATAACGTAAGTTATGGAATTTTATAATAGAAAATAGTGAAAGTAAATAATAAAAGTAAAACTGAAGTAGAAAATACTTTTCTTCTCTAAGAAATAATATATTGGAATGTTAGAAAACGTTTTACTAGTTTTTACTAGTTCTCAAATTGCAAACTATGTACTGTAGAATCCGTTTTAACCGGCAGCAACGGAATCATGCCGATTCCGAATAACAGATTTTTTCCGGATGAATGAAGACATATTTCTAGAACTTATTTATTCATGTTTTGTGATGGAAGCTGTAAAAAGGGCAGCATGCGAAGTTTATTGGCCGTGTTTTGATCTATCATCTATAATTAAGGACATACTATTGAAAATCGTAGAGAATATTTAAAATTAGAACACATAAAACATTTTTATATTTCAGAAGAGCAAAATTAAACAACATTTTAAAATTACTACATTTATTATCACATGAAAGTTACGAATTTCTTAGTATGATGGCATAAAACTTTGAATGTCTACCTGTTTACAAGACGTCAGACACGAATTTGGTTGGTCGAATTTGGTCTGACGTTACAACGTCAGACACGAATGCTGAATCAAGAGTATCTTTGACACTCGATCAAGAGAATCTTTGTCGTCATATACAATATCAGTATAAGCCACAATTTCCATCAACAACAACGTAAAGTGATGCTTTTTACATGTTTGCAGGCAAGAGGAAAAACAAATATGACGTCTTTCAATGTCAATTGTTTCTGAAAATCGTGGCCACTCCGTTTAAAGCTTACGCATCGATGCTTAAAAAGAGATCGGTATTTCATTTTCATATGCTAGATTGACAAGGCTTGTTACATCGAGCTGGAGAAATTGGAGAAATATAGTACAAATTTCCACATTTAAATATTTAAACTGTTTACTAACTTTTTTGTTAGACTTTTTACTAACTTTACTAACACAATTACTTACTTTTTTGACACATCAGTCTAAATTTCAGTTTTAAGTTTAGACTTTCAAAAGTGCCATTATTTTGATACTACCGGTTAATACGAGAGATTTCACTGGATATTCATATTAAGATGTATATTTGTTTAATATTGAAGAAAAAAGAGGAAAATATTAGATTAATAATAAATATAAGATAATTCATGCAATAAGTAAATTTTATTGCAGTTTTTCAGAACATTCTATTATATTTAGTCAAGCCGTCATCCAAAATGAAACATTTATTTATTTTGTGTTGTTTATGGAATGAATAATGTAAATAATGATGAATCAGTTTATTAAAAGATTTAACTTTTAGGATTTATAAATCTAAACAAATTAAAGCATGAATGATGCTAAGTATAGAATACATTTATCACATTAAAGAATTTTAGTATAGGTTACATATGAATTAAGTATTTGAAATCAACTTTGATAAGTTTTCATTATTTTAGCAGAGATAGGGCAATACTATTTTCTAATGAAAGATTATTGATTAATGATATTTTGCATAACCTGAATGTTCTTTCATGATTGTCAAAAAGAAAGTTGATTATTTTCTCTTTAAGAATGAGGCAAATTTTTTTTGGGGGGGAAGGGGGGAAAGGTTATATAAAAGTTTTTATTTTCCTTTTTCTATGATATTCTCATAGGAAATCCTAATTTTACAAATTAAAAATTGAACGATGAATAATTCAGTTCCACTTTTTTATCTTGCACGTAAAACTGGAACAAAAGTACTTAAAGATAGCCAGGTAAACCTGAAACATTTTACCTGAAGATGAGTAACTGTAAAAATAAACCTTTCTTAAGAGGGTGCAAATTCGTATTACAGTGTTCGAAGGCAAAAATGAGAACGTTAGTCGAAAGCAACATGGTTATTCAGTTTTACTCTTCTACTCTTAATGAAAAAAATTGCTAACCATGCACTAAAATTAAAACATCAGAACAAATATGCTTTTCAGGGATATATGTCAAATCAGAGAAATAATTTTGAAAATTGCATGAATTGAATAGGGATTAATTTGTATTTCTTTACAGTTAGCTGTTACGGTTATTCAAGCAGAAGATCTGCCTGGGTTGGACATGTCAGGGACGTCCGATCCTTATGTTAAAGTTTATCTTCTCCCGGATAAAAAGAAGAAGCACGAGACAAAGGTTCACCGAAAAACCCTCAATCCTGTTTTCAATGAAACGTTTAACTTCAAGGTCAGTCGTTATCCGTTATTTTTTTTAATTTGTTGTGCTGTAAATTCTCATACTGCAGTTCTGTATCTATACACAGTCCGAAGTAAAGCTGTGAAATAAAATACGAAATAAAGCTATGAATGAAAGCTTTAGTTACTTAACAGGTGAGGATACTGAAAGGCGCTCAAAGCATGACATGCATTTGCATTTAATGTGTACCTGAGATATTTACTGCAAAACATTTTTCTACGATGTGCCACAAGCCAAAATTTCCCAATTCTTACTTCTAATTAAAATGCATCTGTAATGAGGAACTAATCATGCCAAAAATACGTAAGCCATTTTTAATAGTTTAAAGTTTAACGCGAATTAATATGAACATAAAATGTTTCAAAGCGCTTTTTTTCAAAATCTCTCTTCATCAAAAACAATATAAGAAATAAATAAGGTCAAAACTAAAAAGATGATTAGTGCTATGGAAAATATATAAATATGAGTGAAACGAGAAAATTTATTGACTTAGTTTTATTACTTCCAAGACCTCGCTGACCACCAGCACGGCTTTCGAAAGAGACTCTTCACCTCTTCACAGCTAGTCCTGCTTACGAAATTCACGAGACCCCGCCTTATACAATAAGATGAGTATCGCGGTCCTGATGCTAGACGTGGCCAAAGATTTTGTGACCGTGCCTAGCATGCAGGATTCACCCACAAAAGTTTTCAGCTGGATTTGCTCAGACAAGCTAATCCTGAAGGTTATCCCTTTCATGACAAATCGCACTTTTTCTGCCGAGCTATGCAACGCAATATCTAGCGTCAAGAAAATGAGAGATAAACTGAAACAAATTGTTTCATCTAAATATATATGATCTGCCCAGAAAAGATCCAGTTGATGCTTTTACGAAGAAAGGAAAGAGAATATTGGCAAAAATATAAAGTTGTTGCATTATTAAAAATTATAACAATTAGGATTTCAGGATCATTAACTAAAGTCAAAAAATATTTCTCATTACATATAATTTAAGCAAAATTTTAGCTATCACGTGAGGATCTTTTTATAGCCCAAAGGGATTAGCTCAAAAGAGCTATTAATTTCATTTTTGCATTTTGCGTCTTAAATTTTAAATGACCGTTTCACTTTTCAAATTGTTGCCACCAAATATTATCGCCCTGTGTCATATTTAAAATTAAACAATGAAGAATCTGCATATATATACGTATGTTTCTCGCACTGTGATTAAACAACGGTACCTAGAGCTATCAAATTTTAAATAACGTAATCCTTCACTGAAAATGCGCATCTGCCCTAATTTGGAATTTGTTTTATTATTGATTTAATATTTTGTAAAACTTTAAAGAACTTTTTTCTGAAATTTCTAAAGATGTGCTCATTTTAAAATTACACTCTTAGACAAAAAAAAAAAAAAAAAAAAAAAAAAAAAAAAAAAAGGACGCACCAAGGAATTACCTGAATGGGACGAAAATCTCAGTGTAAGTGATGTACATGTACAGAAAAACAAATGATTACAGTTTGAGAAAAATTGGATGATTTATTGAAGTGATAGAGCTTTATAAAGTGAAAAAGTCAGTAACGCGTTTGTCCACCTCTGGCCCTTATGCAAGCAGTTATTCGGCTTGTCATTGATTGACAGAGGTTGCGAATGTTCTCCTCAGGGATATCGTGCCAAATTCTGTTCAACTGCGCGTTAGATTGTCAACATCCCGAGCTGGTCGGAGGGCCCTGCCTATAATGCTCCAAACGTCTCAATAGGAGTGAGATCCGGTGACCTTGCTGGCCAAGAAAATGTTCGGCAAGCACTAAGGCAAGTAGTAGAAACATGTGCAGTGTGGGGCGGGCATTATTTTGCTGAAATGTAACCCAAGGGTGGCTTGACATGAAGGGCAACACAACGGGCCTTAGAACTTCGTCGACGGACCGCTGTGCTGTATGGTTGCGCAGATGACAACCAAAGGGGTCCTACTATGAAATGAAATGGCACCCCAGACCATTACTCCTGGTTATCGGCCTGTCTGACGGAAGACAGTCAGGTTGGTATCCCACTGCAGTCCGGTGCGTCTTCAGACTCGCCTTCGCTGGTCATCAGACTCAGTTCAAAGCGGGACTCATAACTGAAGATTATTTTATTCCAGTCAGTGACATTCCAGTGCGAATGAGCACGACACCACTGTAAACGGGCTTGACGTTGTACAGAGGTCAATGATAGTTGGTAGTCGGTGCAGGAGCAACGTGACCTCAGCCCCCTTTCTGTGAGCCGTCTATGAAGGGTCCTTGCGGTCACTGAAGCACTAGTTGCACGTGCAATCGATGATAACAATGCATCTGGGGTTGTGAGTGCCGCTCTGACGATTGCTTGATCTTCACGTTCTGTCGTTTCTCTAGGCCTACCGCTTCTTTCTTGACGCTGTGTGTGGCCATGGTTCACCCATTCATGCCAACATCGTCTAATAGGGGCATCGCTCCTGCTCAAATGTCGAGCTATTCGCCGATAAGACCAACCAGCTTCTTTGATCCAACTACACGACCTCTCTCAAGTCCTGACATCTGCGCATATCGTTCTCGCACTTGTATGCGAGGCATAGTTACTGTCTACCAGAGTACACGGAATGAAATTCGTGAAGAATTTATGACCTGGAATCGTAATTTCTGCTCTTAAATATCCTGCCAGTTGCGCAGATCAGATGCGCTGTAGCGACAACCGTTCATTCATTGGCAGCCAAAATGTAAAATTTTGCATTTTCTGTTAAAACCTGTATGCATATCAGTTTGTGTCCAATTTGCTTTATATCTTCTCGGTGCGTCGTGGTGCGTCATTTTTTTTTTTTTTTTTTTTTTTTTTTTTTTTTTTTTTTTGTCTAAGAGTGTATATTGTGATATTGCTGTTGAATTGAATTTTGTGGTTTAAGTGTGAAGGACATGATATTTAATAAATAAAGGTAATGTGCAAAACGTTAAAAAACGCTCCATTGAGCGTAATATAAAATCTGAAATCTTTCAGATTTTTTTTTTAAAACTGCACTGAACATTTTGAACATTTTCCCATGTAAACATATACAAATACCGATGTTCATGTTTTGTTTGATGTTCATGTTTTGTTCATGAGTCTTTGTTTCTTTGCACTGATAATGACATAATATTTTTCTTTCACATTTATTTCGAAAACTATCGGTCTTACAGATACAGTTTTTTGGGTATTTTATGTATTCCAATTGAGGAATCTGGCTGTGCAGAGATTGGACGGTCTTGATGAGACACTCTGTATACAGAATCTGCTCCTGTCAAACGAAAAAAGAAAGAAGGAAAATAAAAAGAACAGTTTGAAGGGATATAGAATAAATGTCTTCTAATTTACAGTAACATTCTATGATTTCGATCAGATAGTTAATAATTAGGAAATCATTACGTCGTTATTTAAACAAAAATTTACACAGAATATTATATGGATGCTTTTAAACTAGAAACTTGTTAAATGGGTAAAATCTGTTTTGCTTCTAATGATTTGAAACTTACTGGTCATGTATTTCACTATTTATTTACCTTAAACCTGACGGTCCGAAAAATGACCAAGAAACTGCTATTTAAACTGGTATTTAGCACACTAAAGTACTAAAGTTGTAAACTCCAAATAAACGAATCTTCCGAAAATCAGTTTTCTAGGCAAGGCATTTAACTATTTACAGGACCATAACTCTTTCCTTTTTGGATTTGTTTGATTTTATCGTTTATTTTTTGCACACAGGTAAAAATAAATGCGTAAATTTTATCCTCTCACCCATGTTTATTAGAAATACATTACTTTCACGCACTAATTAATTCAAAGTCATTTATTTTCTCATACAATTTTATCTTTCAAGTTTAATCAGCCACTTTCCAATAAAGATAGTTAATGTATTTCTCATTTATTTTTTCATACAGTTTCATCTTTCAGCCACTTCCCAATAAAGACAGTTAATATATTTCTAGCTTCCTCATAGTAGCAAAACTTTTTCATTAATGGTATGAATTAGCTATTTGTAACAGCCATACTAAATACATTAGTAAATAAGAGCAATGTAACTGCGCAAAACGGTGTCCGCCGATAACATCGCGGCAAAAACATCGCAGACGAAAACGTCGCGGAGAAAACAACGCAAGGAGAAAACGTCGTGCTACAAAACATCGTGGGAGAAAACATCGCAAAGAGAAAACATCGCAGTTCTAAAACATCGTGTACAAAACATCGTCGTCGAAAATAAAGCGGTTCAAAAACTTCGCAGTTTAAAAACATCGTCGTCGAAAATATCATGGTAAAAAATGACGTATCTACAAATCATCGCATGACGATAACATCGCAGACATTTTTTTTCAGGTTTTAATAATTGGAAATGGATATTCCCATAATGATTTGTGATCGCAAGATGTAAAGAAGGATAATTTTTACTTTCACAATTTTTTAAATAACTAATAAATTTTTGCTGAAAAAGTAAGAAGGAAACTTAAGCATAGATAATTAAATGCAACTTATAGCTTATACTTTTCATGAAAAATTACCAGTAAAAGCATTACAAAAATTATTTATTAATGGCCTTTGTTAGTTAACTATGTCGGTTTAAAATTCCATTAAGTGCTATAAGTTGCATTAATTTTCTATGCTTAAGTTTCCTTCTTATTTTCTCAGCAAAAATTTATTAGTTAATAAAAAAATATGAAAGTAAAAATTACCATTCTTTCCATCTTGCGCTCACAAACATTATGGGAATATAAATGTACAGTTATTAAAGAATGTCTGCGAAAAGCATGTCTGAAAAAAGCATATCTGCGATGTTATCGTCATGCGACGATTTGTAGATACTTTATTTTTTACCACGACATTTTCGACGACGATGTTTAAACTGCGAAGTTTTTGAACCGCTTTATTTTCGACGACGATGTTTTGTACCACGATGTTTTAGGACTGCGATGTTTTCTCCCACGATGTTTTGTAGCACGACGTTTTTGCCTTGCGTTGTTTTCTCCGCGACGTTTTCATCCGCGATGTTTTCGGCTGTAACCGCGCAAAACTGCTGCATATAAAAGTGATAGGGAGACAAATAATGCTTTTTGAATTTATTTACAGGTCCCATTTGCTGAAATCACATCGAAGACTTTAGTTTTTGCTATATTCGACTTCGATCGTTTCTCAAAGCATGACCAGATCGGGGAAGTAAAAATCCCCCTTAATACAGTGGATTTGGCACAGACGATTGAGGAGTGGAGAGATTTAACTAGTGTTGAAGGAGAACAAGGACAGGTAACCTATTTCATATTTATCCGATTTTATGAATTCATAATGCTGGATGATGAATTAAAACACGTTCTTTGATAAAAAGAAGACGCATACGGAAGGAATCATAATAACATGATGAAAACTGGTATGTTTGTTCTACATAAATAGGAAATATTTACTACGATATTAGAACGAACAGATCATTCACTTCGATAAAATTGCTATGAACTTTGAACTTACATAATTAGCTCGGGTACAAAGAATATAATTATTTGGATCGGCAGGAAAATTAGATTCATTGTATTACTTCACACATGGCATTTAGAGATATTATGATCCAAATTTTATATAGCTAGTTGGTTAATTCATCGACATTATAGGATGAGTGTAGATAACATATCATCACATCTTAAATATGTTCAACCAGGGAGAGTTTAGGTGACGGTAGAGGCTACTAAAGAATATCAGCACTAGGCAGGCTGTCTAGTAACGAAGGGGTTATTGAAGCCTGTATGTGGACCGGAAAGAGTTCAGTTTAAAATTGGTACGAGGAGATTGTAATAACAGTACACGGAACACAAAATAGGATGATAAGGCATCATCAAGTATCTGCCATCATCAGATTGGCCATTTAGAATGCAGGTTTTCTTTGTCGTCGTACAATGTTTTAAAGCACAATCATTTTCAGTTATATCATTTGCTTTGGACTTACACTGTGTATGTCTTTCGAGTGGGTCATTTAAAGTCCACTAGGGTTATCTTTACTCTATTCTTCTGCCACTGTGATTCAATTGAAAGTAATACAGCACTCGAATGAATAGATCTCTTTCACCCTAAGTACACAATCTCCATTAATTTCACTCTTATATCGTATACGATTTCTCTGTCGGAGGAATATTGCAGCCTATTAAAACTTTAAAACAATACTCTTTGATTCGTAGTTGCCATGCGATGTAGAGGGCCATTGTTTAATTTCTAGCAATTTTGTGGTCGTGAAAAGTTTTATTCAAACTGAAAGAGGCTACAAAAATGCGTCTTTTTTCTGTCGAAACGTGCGCATACTAAAAATACCAAAAATAATATTTTTCGTTCTAAAAATATTCGTAACTATTAAATTTATTTACTCTTTAATGTACTCGCTTGGACAGAAAGTTTTAGGATTTATATACATTATTCCGAAACACAAAAAATATTTTCGTGACATTATTTTACTACCTTTAAATGAAAGAGGTATTTTAAAATTCAATAATTCGTATGTAGGAAAACCTTTTAAATATTTGAAAGAAACATAAAAGTCTTCAAGCGCTTACAATGAATAATTTCTCTTTAATCTCATTTAATTAATTTCTTAGGTTGCTGAAGGACTCATTTTGTTTCTAACTTCCAGTAGTTCATCATAATTAGTTGTGTTACCTTAAAGAATCCTGAAATAACTATTTCGATTTTTGAAAATGAGGACACCTCTGTCATTTGTACTCTGAAAGTATTATGAATTACTGATATGCCATCTCTTACAATAAGTGTACATAAACTAGGAATTATCTCAGGAAAAACAGGGCACTTTATTCATATGTAATGCTCACAGAGAATAAAAATTAAAGTATTCTTATTACGAAGCTCTGTATTCAAATTCTATTACTTTAGTGTTCCAATTATATTTTAAAAATATTTTCTTGATTAAGAATTTTTAAAGTTTTCCACGGAGAAGATATTGCATATAGTTTTATGCCCTATTATTACAACAGTACAAAACTTAGTTAAAGAATGTATTATACTTGCAGGAAAGGAGTAACGTAAGAGCATGTAGAAGTAGGAATGATAGAAACTTAAGAATTATCAGATTACACAAATTTTTTACAAATGGAAAAGAATCAGTGCATATGATTTTATGCTATTTAAAATTGCTCTTCTGCTTTTTAAATGCAGATTAGAAACCTTGAAATTAATGCATATAGTTGATTACAAAAAATGTGAAACATTAAAAAATTCTAATCAACTTCCGAAAAAACATTCACTAATTTCAGTTTATACGCATCCAAAGATATGCAAAAATTTGACAAGTTTTGGCTTAATTGAATTATATAAGTACATTTATTATTTTATCAAACTTTCAATTTTCAAAATGCTGAAAGTAAGTAATTCGTATGTAAACATTGTTAATTCGATTTATTAATTTATTAAAATGATATATATATTATAACAGAATAGTCTACTTCATATTTTCTTAACTTGCTAAAAATATAAATTACAAATTTTATAAACAACAAAGAAATAAGTATATCTAAATATATTTTATTTTTTCAAATTTATAGAGAATTTTATCATAATTTCCTGCGAAAAATATAAGTTTTTATACGCATAATTCCTTTACAATAAATAAACTTCAAATTAAATTTCAAAGATTGTCTTGTGCAAGTATTATTCTTGATATTTTATGCATACTTATGTAAAAGTTAAACATGCATTTCTAAAATATCTTTTTTAGATGTTTGAAAGTAGAATGATTATATGTTGATGTTTATCGAAGTAGACATTTGGAGCGTACATAATCAGTTAGATTTAGTAGCAGTTGTAGATTGTAGTATATAATGTAGCCATTTTAGTAACAGGGATTTTCTTGTAGACAAGTAACATATATAAAATTGATGAAAAGTGTAGACATTTCATATCGTTATTTTCTAAAGTAGGCTTTTAGTGGTAGTTTCTTTAGTAAAATTTCTTCCCTTTCTTTATTTTTACCTGGTATTTTGAAATTTTATTTCCTCGCCTTCTGTTATAGTTCCAGCTTCTTTCTTTAGTTGCGCATGCGCAGTATTTATGCTCTTTTCAGTTCCAAGTTCTTAGCGTTTTGATTTCATGGTCGTCAGAAATCAATCAACATTGCTTTAATTTCTTATGATTTTATGAATTGATTCATATAATTTCTCTTTCTCAAAACCAAATCCTGCTGTTTTTGCCATTTCTTCAACCTTCAATGGACGTAATTCTTGTTCTCATCACGTGACGGTGCGCCGCTGTGTTTGTAAGTATACATCAGTAATGGCTGGATATGTGTTGTGTGGTGATCGTTTGTCGTTGTGCATTGTTTATCTTTTGTGCAGAATACGACGTTGCTTGCTTCGCTCAATTTATTATTATTTTTTTTTAAATTAAAAGCCTTTTATTTATAGCATTTCTTTTATCGTATACTTTGTTTTCGATATTGTGTTTAGCCTTTATCAATCACATAAAAATGCTTGAAAACTCGTTTTCTAATTGCTCCTTTCGTTATAAGGAAGGCTGGTTTTTAAAAGTAGAATTCGCGTTTGTCTTAGGCTTGTTTTAAAGTGAACTAGAATAGTGCATTATTAAATGTTTTAAGGTGAATTTTATTTGGAAAGAAACAACTTATTTGTGCTGCCTATTTTCTGTTTTTAAAGTGTTGTTTTATGTATATCTTTTATTCAAAATTAGCAGGATGAAAAATAGCACCCGAAAAGATGAACAGATATCAATATTGAAGATAGTCTTATCTACAACCTACCTTATTTTAAGTGATAAAGTTATCATAATCCGTCTGTAAATTCTGAATTATGTCAGGTGTGCTATTAACAAATATCAATACTGAACACCATCTTATCTACAATCTACGGTATTTTAAGTGCTAAAATTATATTAATCCGTCTGTAAGTTTTAAATTACGTCAGATCTGTTATTAAACAAATGTCAATGCTGAACACTATCTTATCTACAACCTACCGTATTTTAAGTGCTAAAGTTATTATGTGAATTATATCAAATTTGTTAAGAATAATAGCTGAAGCAAATATTAGACATTTTCGCATAAATTAGGTCAAATCGTTTATGGCACTAACTGAAATTGCCGCCCAGACGGGAACATGGTTAGTGACTCTGACCGCCGTACTGAAATCTCGGGTTCGAATCCCAGAGAAAGCATTGATGCAATTTGTCCGTTCTTCATATGAGGCAACAGTGGCTTACCTCTTAGGTGTCTTTGTAGTAAAGACCTCACAGCTTCCGGCCTTAGTAGTGGCCAACGTCTATAAACGGCTAGAACCTGCCATTGTGTGTGTGTGTGTGGAAGGGGGACTTACTGAAATTTCCGATGGCAAAATAATTTTGAAATTCTCTCCTTGACAACACAGTTTGTTGAAACGATAATGGTAAAAAACGGGGAATAAAGAATTATTCACAAGAATTTAGCTTAAATAATTTATGATTGCAATAAAAATGATCAACTTTAATTTAAATAAAAAATATTAATCTGCATTTCATTAAAACGTTGATTATTTTAGATATCAGAGTAAAACTTTGCAGATTTTTGATTTTTATAAAAGTGTTCAGTGTATTTATGTGCTTTTGTACTAATGTATTGATTTATACATTCCTATATTTTTGGAGCATATCACAGAAGCTTAAAAATTACTGATTGATTATAAAATTCATTAAAGAGATAAACTTAAGAACATATTCTTACATTAAAGTTACAATAACAGCAGAGAAAGCAAATTATGCTCGCCAATACATTTATCCGACCTCGTAAGTCGGGCTTAGAAGGAAAAAAACATTTCATCTGCTTTATTAAGCGATTTCAGCTTCCGTGGAATGCATGAGCTTGGCGAAAAAATGATTTCTCCGAGAAACGAAATCCGACAACCTACAGTTAGAAAAACCGATTAGCTGTAAGCGAAACAGCCAAAACTTCGAGGGTGAAAAAACAAGTATTTGGGATATGAAAACGGTGATATAAATGTTTGATATTAAATTTTTATTCTTACATTCAAAAGCTATCGGAACGAAATCTTTCATCATTATACACATCCCCAAGTTGATGCAATTAGTGGTTCTTTCTTTAAGCGAGTAACAACCTTCGTATCAAATAGTCTTTGAGCTTCTAGAAAAGTTCTTTTCAAGTGCAGAATTAACTACAAGTCAAAAATAACTTTTTGTCCAAATAGATGAAATGAAATCGAAGTTGAATCATGTAAATGATGAAAAAGAAAGGAAAAAAAACTAAAAATGTG